AGCTCAGAGGCTTTGGGGGCTTAGCTCAATAGCAAAGACATATACCTGGACCTCATTACATGAGTTAGCACATTGCCTGGCAGGAGATCTAAAAAGGGAGGCTCTGGATGAAGATGACTTGCCCCAAGGGGTTCTAATAAGGCCAAGTGCTCCAAGGTTCCCTTAACTTGGACCATATTGGGACAGAGTGGGCATTAGTAACAAAACTCCTTCAATGAAGAAGGGAATGTCATTATCTGTGAACCAGCTGAGAAAATGCTGGTTATTCAGTATACTGCGATACCACAGACTGACCACAAGCCTGAGATAAGTCTGTCCCTAAGGCCTGAGGTTAGCTCACCTGGAACCAAAGTATCTCCTGTACAACAGGGGATTCTGGTAGTGAAAGGCAACGTAGATCTTGTACTGCTGTGTAGACATCCAGCATCATCAGTACTAAGACACTTTCTTATTGCTGCTGATGTTACACAGAAGTAGTCAAAATGCTGGTACTAGAGAACATCTCTTGCCAAAGGATATACTTCCCCATCCACCTGATTACTTACCAGAGATTTCAATCATCTAGTGCAGCTAATTCTCAGCACCATGAGGCTACGTCTACACTGCAAGCTATTTTGGGATAAGTCTTAAAGCAGCCTATTATTTTGAAATAATGGACGCGCTATTCCGGCACCCCTGTAACGCTCATTCCATGAGGGTTAAGGAATGTTTTGGATAGCACAAATTGCGTAGCTAATTTCAAGGTAAGGGTGCAGTGTAGACGCAGCCTGGGTGATTTAACCTCTTAGGCTTCTTCCGTCTCACCAGAACAGGGGGTTGCGTGCAGGCATTCTGAAGCAATATCTACCTGATGCTAAAGTTCATGACAGAGGCATGTAGTCTAGACACAGCCTAAGAGACTAGTTGACTCATGATGCAACTAGTCGCTTCCCCCCTTCCCTTGGTGCCTCTATCAGAGAGAGGAAGCAAGGGTGGGGGAGAAAAGAGGGAACTTCAAAGAGGCAGAACCGCTTGAAGCCTGGGGCCAGGCCCTGGGCTCCATGCAGCGATGCTGCTTTGAAACACCTCATGAAGTCTGAGGCCTGCTGAGGTGTCCCCAGGCTGCACGCAGCGTTTCTAAGCAGCAGCGCCGCATGGAGCCCAAAATCAGCTGGGGACTCCCCCGCTGGCCCCAACCTCCATGCACTGCTGGCACTTTGAAACACTGCAGGGAGACCAGCATCAGGCTTCTTGTGGTGTTTCAAAGTGGCAGCATGGCATGGAGGCCAGGGTCAGCAGGGAAGTCTCTGGCTGACCCTGAGCTCCATGCAGAGCTTTCACCTTTGAAGTGTAACAACAGCCCTAGAATGCATTGACTATTTCAGCCATGGCCAACCTGCAGCTCGTGAGCCGCATGCAGCTGGCTCTCTCCCCTGCCCCCCCACCCCGGTGCATCTCGTATCTCGTGAAGCTACCCCTGTGGCTTCTGGAGCAGCCCCTGCCTCCCGGAAACCTGTGCTCTCTGGGGCTGGGGAGCCATCAGGTGCAACCATTAAAAATGGTGTCTTCAAGATGGTGTCAGCTGGGGGGAAGCCTGATGTGGCCAAAAAGCCTCTAAACATGTTGCTTAAAGCTTTTTTTTTTTTTTTGCTAGACAACTTCCCCCCTCACCTCCCAACCCTTTGTGCTATATTCACAACTATTTTGGCTCTTTTCCTGTAATGGGTTGGCCATCCCTGGAGTATTCGATTAGTCAATTAGTCGATATTTAACATCATTAGTGCATGCCCTAAGAAGGTGGGCTCAGAAGGTTGATGCATAGTGGCCTTCATAATGATGTGGTGTATTCTTGCCTCTGTCTGTTTGTACGGTGCTTAAAGCCTCTGCAAATCTGTCAGTAGTCTCTGAATGAGGATTGCTCACCAGCATCAATTTTTTGCAACCAGCTCAAAGTTTAAACATTGGAAACAAAGGCATATCTTGGCACAGTGCACCAGCACCCCATAACAATAGTGAAGCAATGCAAAAGAAAATAAAGAAAAACAACAAATGAATTTTAAATTAACTATCTAAGTAGTACCATTAAACTTGAAGAAGCAAGCTGACATGCTCCATCTAGTTATCAAAGGTGGTAAGAAGGAACTCAGGGGACCTAAGGAGGACCTCTGTCTTCTATAGGATTGTGCAGAAACACAAGACAACAGAAGTTGCATGCGCCCCCTTAACAGGGCATGCCAAAGGGAAAACATTCAACTCTGGAACTTGGGCATGCATATACCTGAAGCGGAATTGATATGTGCAATCACACAAAGAAAAACAAAACAGGGTGGGACAATTCACTGATATTTCACCTGACCAAACCTGCATTCAAATCTTGCTTCTGATACATCAGAAAGCCAATGTGGTGGTCCTATCCTAGCCTCTGCCACACACAGCCTCTTTCCAGGAGGCTAAAATTCAAATCACAGGAATCTTTTTGAGTTAAGATTTTGTTTCATTTTCATAACCTTGGAGGAGGGTAGTTTGCTTAATGTGTACCTGCTTTAGATATTAACATCCTGACATTAACTTTCATGATCACCAAATCCATTCATAAAATAAAGGGAAAAAATTGTGCACCTGTAATGTACAATTTTCTTTTCGTTTGAGGAACTCCACAAACCTGGCCACCACTCCTGGTGTGCTGATCACTTCATCTATTGGGGGATTAGGTTCTGTTTAAAATAGAATGTGGAATTAGATTAAAAACTCTCTTT